GAACTGGGATTCCCAGAGGCTTTCTGTGACTCCATTTCCCCTTTATTTTTGGTCTCCTTTCTTTCACTCCTGTGCACTTTGTCCTTGCTTTTTGCCTCACGTAGTGCAGAGGATTGTAACAGGACTGTTCCTGGAGTTTTGTATCCCCTCATTCACAGGTAGCAGCATAGTATCAACCCCCTGCCCCCCACCCCGCTCTGTTGGTGGTGGGGGACCTACTGCTTTACAGGATTCTAGACTGGGCCATTTTTTGCCCCAACAGGCTACCGGCACTTCTCCATGTGTATGTGTGCGCGCGCCCTTACATTTCCGGTGACCCGCAGGCACAAAAGAACCAGGTTTTTCCCCAAGCCCAGCAGCGGACTAGAGCTTTCCTTATTCTCCCCATTCTCTACCTTGAATAAGCATTTCAGGGCTCTCATCTATAGCTGCCTAGCAACGCACGTCCAGAGCCCCGAGCTTGCCCTCAGGCTGGATTTATTTTTCCCAGCCGCGGCTCCCCCCCCCCACCGCGCCTGCTCCACCGCCGGACTCCCGGGAGCCCAGCCCGGGTCCCAAGCACGACCCCGGCGTCGCCTCCCCGGGGCAGCAGCATCTTGGGGGCGCCGGTCCAGGTCGACCCTTCCTCGGGCTCGGCGAAGGGCGGGCGTGGCCGGCTGCGCGCATCGGAGCCTCCCAGCCGCCCAGTGTGCCTTCGCTCTTCTCGCAGCAATTTGAGTTCCCCAGTCGATCCCAGGGTGGAGGCCGAGAGAGCTTTCGCGAATGGAAAGGGCGGGTGGGAGGAGGCCCGGCCGCCCCTCCCGGGCCGCGTAGCGCCGGCCAGCGGTGCAGTCGCGAGCTCGCCGCCAGCGAAGCCATTGGCTCGGCGCAGTCACCCCACGCAGGGATGCAGCGGCAGCCTCCGCGGATTGGCGCGCGGGCGGGCATCCATGTGTGCGCGCGCGAGCGTGTGCGTGCTGCAAGAGCTGCACTCGAGCCTCAACCGCCTGGGGGTTTTGCGCTCCTCTTTGCAGAATGCACACCCCGCCATTGTCCCCGCGTGGTTGAAGCTGCATTTGGGCTCGTCGCCAGCCACAGTTCCCTCTGCCTGGGCCCAAAGAAAGGGCGCGAAACGCGCGCTCCCAGCGCGGGCGCACGCACCGACCGCCGCCCTCGGCCTCTCACTGCAGCATTTCGCGCTTTCTCGTAGCTTCCCCTCCCCGCTGGCCGTCATTTACATATCCCACGTTTTCGGCCAATGAGTGCTCGTCTTTCTCGAAGCGGATGGCTTTCGCCTCAGAGGAAAGGGAGTGGCTGTCGGCGCATGCGCCGCGGAGGCCGACTTGAACCGAGGCTTTTATTGCTGTAGTTTATTTCCACCCCCTTCCCTCCTGTTCTCTCTTTCTTTTTTTTTCCGCCCTAGCTGGGGCTGTGCTGGGAGAGAGGAAGAAAGAGAGACAGAGGATTGCATTAGTCCCCTCCGGTCCTGAGGTTTGCTACCAGCAAGATCTACTAAACGGTTGCACCTTTTTCGATCCCGCATATTACCAAGCCCCCTTCCCGGGAATTTTTGCTGTAAAGCTGCCCTCTTGAAATTGATATTTTTTCCCAGGAGAGAAATGTCTTATCAGGGGAAGAAAAATATTCCACGCATCACGGTGAGTTTGGTACTTGAGAAACCTGCAACCTTTTGTGGTAGGAAACACTAAGGGATTTTTTCTTTTAAAGGATGAGGGTAGGAGGATGGGGAGGGTGTGGGGCGCAACTTTTCCGCCCCCCCCCCCAATTGCTAAAGAAGGGGGCGGCGGTGTGGTGGGGAGGCAATGATAAAGGATCATAAGCCACACAATTCTCGAGGCATTAAAATAGGAGTGTGAGTGCATGGTCGCTTTAGGTAGCGCGCCAGAACCGCTGTATCCTTTTATTGTCAGAGCAAGATGCTGCAGCGCTGGCCTGCGGGGTGTAAGCAAATGGATGCCAGATTGAATATGCACGGTTGGAGCCGGGATATTGTTCTCCGGCTGCGTGCTGCGGGGCTGGATTCCTGGAGCGGAGATGGGGACGGGGGGAAGTGGATACTCCCGAGTCTCCCGCCCCCACCCTCAAGGGCGTTCTGGAGCCTTCCTCGGGCTGCGTGGAGAAGGAAGCGAGTTGGAGCCCGGAGGCGTCCTGACAGCGGAGGGATGCTGAAAGGGCAGGGTGTACCGGAATGATGTGGAGCCAGGAAGGGAAAACAGGGGCGGCCGTGCTGAGCGGCGCTGGAGGGCGGGGGCCAGGCGTTGGCTTATTGTTGATCGGGGACCGTTTTCTGGTGGCTCTCGCCCTCGGCAGGGCTCTGGGCTCGCTCCGGTTGCTCGCGGCCCCATCTGCTGCCCCACGGGCGCCCGTGCTGGCGCATACAAAGCGGGCTGGGAGGTGGGCGCCGGGGACAGCGCCCGAGCCGGGCTGCAGGAACTAATGGCGCTGCGCGGGCGCGCGGAGCAGATGGCTCGGCCTCGGCCCGGCCAGACAATGATGGTAGCGGCCGGGGGCCCTCGCCGCACGTCTGGGGCCTGTAATGGTGACTTTGTAAATCATTAGGGAAAACATCTAGGAGGTGAATTTTCGATACTTCCGAGATGAACACAGGTTCGTACCCGCACGCCCCCCCCCCCCCACCCCCCCCCCCCCCCCGCCCCCCCCCCCGCCTCCCCCTCCTCCTCCCCCCCCCCCAACTCCCCTCCCCTTCTTTTCCTGGAGAAATCGCACAAGTTCTAGTTCATTACAGCCCCACATGAAACGCCGGGGAGGGGAGGGGAGGGAAGCGAGGGAAATTCATTGTTATATAATGATTTGCAATTGCGGTTGCCCAGCTGATTCCTGGGCAGGACCCAGGGCCGAGGCAGAGCGGGAAAGAGGCAAAGCAAAGGGCTGGGTTTGGGGGCGTTTTTGCTTTCTTTTGAGCCAGGGGCTCCCCGACCTTCCTCACGTTGCACGCGGGCACACCCATCTGCAGGCTGGAGAAGTGGGAGCGAATGCACGCACAGGGGAGGGGGCGTGTGCTTCACTATTGGCGGGGCGGAGGTGGGGGGCGGCGGCGGCGAACCAGGTGGTTCTGCCAGGAGAATAGGGACTAGCTATTTCTTGACGGTAAATCCCCAGCATCCAAAAGGGCTGGGCTGGGGACCTGACAGTGTTGGTTGTCTCTTGCGCTGGAGGAAGGAGTCTGGGAGTGTGTGAGGCATGGGGGTGGGTAGCAGATCGGCTGCAAGCCTCAAAGCATTCGTTTTCTTAGTGAATGGACACGGCAGTTTCGTTTTGACAGTGTGGGGGAGGAAAAAAATTTTTTTTAAAGCAAACAATCCACGAGACTGGTTTTTAAATGGGCGCAACAGCCGCCCCGCCCCCCGCCCCCCCAGAAAATCTGTTCCTGTTTCGCATAGGACCTATACCATTGTTCACGACCTCCATCACCAAGGCCAGCCTGTTATGTAAGAAGACTCTGGAAGGCACCAGAATGAACCGGCCTGTGGTGTTGCTCTTTTTTTTTTTTTCTTTCTTCGTGGTGTGATATTGGTTGGGGATTTTGGTGATGGCTGGGATAGGTATTGCAATGACGAAGGGAGCAGGTGCTGAAGGGCAGGACTCTCCCTTACCTCCACGGTGAGCTTATTCTTTCAGAAGTAGTGACATGGGAGGGAGGGAGGGGGGCAAGGTGTGACAGAAAATCAGGTGACCTTGGGTGAATGGTTTAACCTTTCTGAGACTCGTTTTCTAATCAGCCCTAGGCATAGAATCTGACCCAGCCCACATTTCAGATTTCTGGTGAGGCCCCCCCTAACAGTGACCCCCACCACAGGATTTTGTGAAGGTTTTTACAAGTGCAGGAACTGTTGAATGCCTGCCTGTTCTCAGGAGAAAGGGCCTTCCAGTGTACACATTTAAAATGATCTTTTTGCCTTCAAGAAATAAGTTCTTTTAAATCCAGGTGTGTAACTTAACGTGTGTAGAAATAACTTTTAATTATAGGGCTCTAGAAGTGTGCAGATCATTAAAGACTTGCTGTACTTTTCTTTGGCAGGTGCTAGAAATTGCACTTGCTTCATTCTTCTGAGTTGATCATTGTCAAAACAAATGCCTTCCTCGGAAAGGCTTTGCATCGCCCCAGGGAAATATGTGGTTCCCTTTGAAAGGGTTAAGCCCTGGCTGGAATGATGCAGGTATGGCGGGTTCACTAGCGCACAGGATTTCAACTTTCCACTCCCCAGCAGTATTTGGGATAGTGATGAGTCAGTCATAACGTGGCATTACTGTTATATTTCCTGGCCTCCTATGTTGGCTGCCATGTAGTTTTTGCACAAATAGCCACGGATTAAAATATAAATGCAGCAGTCATTCACAGTGGTGTTAGATTTTAGGATTTGCCACATTACTCTATCACAACAAAGTCTTTTTTTTTTTTTGAAACAGTTTAGTACATGGCTAAAATGTGTGCACCTGAGAGATTTTTGCGCCCCTTCTGTCTTGATTCCAGTCAGTGTGCTTTCGCTTAAAGAGAAGTGTAAATTTAAAAGACATACCGTATGGAAACTTTGCTATGGCTGTTTGTGTAGACGGTCCCATGACAACTGATATTTGGTCCATTTCCCTGACACAAACCTTGCCAAGAAGTTCTTCCTACGTGTGGGCTTATGTATTTACTTCTAAGGAAGTTGAGCCTGAAGTCAGTTAAAACAGTCATTGTCTTTATCAGTACTCTTCACTGAATGAAAGACTTGAAGGCCTGCCGGCCTATCCCCCCACCCCCATTCCTTCCCTCTTGCAGTTGTAATGAAAGGCGATGGCTCTTGCTTTGCCAGTGTGTTCTGACTCCTCCGGTGAGGAAGATGGCTGCATACAGGTCCCCTTTCTCATGAAACCTTTGGAAGATTGGCTCCTGGTGAATATGATTTCGAGTAGTGCAAATGAGCACCCATGTCACTTTGATCTCCTTCCTCACAGGCTGCTTGTACATTGTGACCCTCCTCCCTTCTTTGTTTCAGAGCGACCGTCTTCTGATCAAGGGAGGTAAAATTGTCAACGATGACCAGTCATTTTATGCAGACATATACATGGAAGATGGGTTGATCAAGTAAGTAACTCATGATGTGCACGTTTCTCTACACCTTTGAGCACTCCAAAACATTACCTGCAGTCTGCACACCTGAAAATAAGCTCTTGGTGCCTTGACAGGGGAACCCAGTTTAATCTCTGTTTAAAACCCATTGTAATTGGAGGCATTTTGTGGCTTTGAAAACACCCAAGCCGGGGAATTCAAAAGTCACAATTAAAAGCACCCCCAAGCATGCAATTTATTAATTGTAACTGCGGCCACACATTTTCTTCTTATTGCCAGCTCAGGTACCTCGTTTACGACATGGGGACTCTATTGTAGTTGTGTGGGATGGGTTGCCCAATTAACGGACATAGATGTGGACTGGAACGCAGCCTCTTCTCTCAAGATAGCACAGGTGCTTTCTTACTCAGGAGTCCAGGCTGGAGGGGACCAAGAAGGACACTGAATTAATTACTGTGTACCACAAACAAATTACAGCTTCGTGCTTGAGGGGGCTTGAGGTTTCCCTCTCTGCAAAGTAACTTACACCAATAAGACTGCTCTTGTTTTTATGGTGCATTGTCTTACCAAGGAGAAAACTAGAGCACGTTTTTGGCCCCCAGAGGGTTAAGGAAGCTCAGTGCATACCAGTATCCTCATGCCATTCCTACTGGGACAGCTCACGCGGCTCTGGAGAAACTGTACATCTGTTTAAAGACAAGCATTGCAGCAATGACATCTTTTAAATAAGCAGCATTCATCAAAGGCTAGCAGCAAACCAAGTCCGGAGGAGTGGAAAACTGGATTGAGTGTGACTGTTGCCTGGAAACTCACATTCTGATTTACGTACGGGAAACGGTCCCAGCGTTTCCACATTTAATATTTTCTCCATGTGTGCTTGCGGGGGACAGTCTCAGCTCCAGGCCTTCAAGGGTCTTACCTTTCAGGGTCCATCTCCCCGGGGTTACAAGACAGCATGATCTGCTATAGCAGCAACGACACTGGTCTAGGAAGTTCGCAGAGCTGATGCTACTTAGTTGTCACTAATTTCTTTCCGAGCTCCACCAACTACTCCATGACGAATTTTTCCTTTTCAAAAAATGCACTAAAAGGGGGAGCAGGAGCAATACTTCAAAAAAAATTGCCCGGGAGTCATGTCCCCCAACATTATGATGATTATTTCTTGGTGTCTTTGTGTTCTGAGTTGGTAATTACGTCCTTAACATTATTTCAGTCATCATGTCCAATACCCCCATTTTGTGTGTGTGTGTGGTGTGGGGTGGGTGGGGCTTTGTTTTGGTCCACTCTTATGCTTCCACCCGTTTCCTCTCTGTTGAATCGAATCCGGTGGTAAAGTAAAACCAGGCTTGGGGAAGATAATTAGTTCAACTATGTGTATTGTAATGAAAGTTTAATGACATCTTATGTAAATAGCTTGGGAGCTTGTTATCATCTGGTCTGAGGGCTTTTCTCCTAACTAATCCCCTTTATATGGGGTCTCAGATGCCTTATTTACATTGTTTTTTTAGTATATGCCATATTGCTTTTAGTGAAAATAAAAAAAGTTCATGGACCTGTTTTGTTGTCATTGGGAATCCACACAGCAGAACATCCACCAGTTTAGCAATTCCTACATGTTCATGCCAGTGACATTAATTATAGTCATCAAGTTGTGCAGGGACTCTGTTGCATTGCCTCTCCATCGGGAGTGGGGGTTGTTCATATGACAAGTAAAAACAGCAGTCAGGAAATGGGTGGAAAATAGGGAAGGCTAATTTATGGCTTGGTGAGGCTATCTGCCCCATCCAATCTGATTAGATGGTTCATTTGCTCCCCTTATCTTGACTTATGTTTTCCTAGACAAATAGGAGAAAATCTGATTGTGCCTGGAGGGGTGAAGACCATCGAAGCCCATTCAAGGATGGTGATCCCGGGAGGAATTGATGTCCATACTCGTTTCCAGATGCCTGACCAGGGAATGACCTCTGCTGATGACTTCTTCCAAGGGACCAAGGCATCCCTCGCTGGGGGAACCACTATGATCAGTAAGACAACCTACAAATGATCATTTGTATGGGGGGAGCAATTATTCTAATTTTAAAAAAACGAGTCAGTATTGTTTGATCCCTTCCATCTAAAAGTTCCTGAACTGACCAGTGGTTTAATCTGGCAAAGAACGGGTAGTCGGTGGGCTAATTAGTTATTCATCTTGTCTCATTGCCCCCACTTTCTATCCTGCTGTGAATTCCCAGTCTGCATCTTGAGAAAATTATGGGACTTCAGTGGGATCTGAGGGAGCATTGGGCTTCTTGCTTTCTCTGGCTCAGAAGCCTTGTTTTCCGTAACAACTCCCCCTCCCCAAATGTGATTTGATTTCCATGGTTTTTTAGACACAGCCTTGGGCATGGTCTTTCAAGTTACCCCTTTCGGGCCCCCGGGCCCCAGGGTTTGATTTTGATCTTAAAAATGCCCCCGTGAGCACCCTTCCTCAGAATGAAGACGGGGTGCTGCAAGTGGACCGTGGAGCCAGGGATCTTTGTTCCACTCTGGAAAAGCCACACGAGGGGACACTTCCTCGCCCAGGCTTGACCGACAAGGAATGGAGCAGCCCTGCTCAGGGGCGGACTCTTGATATTAATGGTCAGGAGGTAGGAGGAGTCCCTAGTCCCATACATGATGGAGCCTTCAGCTACCACTCGCGAAGTTAGTGCGTCGAATCTGCTCAGAGGTGCCTCGGAAGGAAAAGCTAGTGATGTACTTCCAGAACAAACCAGCCCGTAGCCGTCCTCTGGAGCAGGGCTCTACCCTGACACACAGGGATCCTCCAGGCCAGGCGCTGGACTTAACTTAGTGGCAACTGCTTTTTACTTGTCGCACATGCGTCGCCTGGTTGCGAGGCATGCCTGTGACAGTGTCTTCTTCAAGCCTGGGTGTGCGCTCGCAGTCACACCCTTCCACATGGCTCCTGTCCCTGGCAGCTCAGCTATGGGGAGGCTGCGAGAAGATGGAGCCTCTGCTCTCAGGGTGGGGCCTCTTGCGCTGCGCCCTGGGTACTTTTCTGAAGCGTGCCTGTCCACTAGAGTCGCTGTGCCCCTATGGATTGGCTCCAGCAAGACTCAGGTTTCCAGCGTGTTATTGATCGCCGCTTTGGCAAGTCTCATTTTGCTTTTGAGGAGGTAGGCAAGCCGCCCTGGCGCCAGACACACAGCAAAACCCAACCCAGCCCAACGTTTCATCTCGGGAGTGGAAGTCAACATTCGGTCCGTCTGCAAAGCTAACAGTCCATTTCAGGATAAGAGTAGAAGGAGGAAAACAGTTAACCCTTTGTGCTTCAGGAGATTGACCCTCATGGGTAGGAAGAGGCAGCGTGGGGTTTTTTTTTGTTGTTTTTTTTTCAGAAAGGTTGCCTTCGCTCCGTGGCCTTGGGGTCTGCCTCTAAGCCTTTCTCTTCTGCCTTACCTGAACTAGAAGATCCTTGCTCTGCCAGCTCCTCCATTTGCCCCTCCCCCTGCAGCCTGACCTCCCTCCTGCAGGTTAGCTCACAGGCTGACTCCGGCGCTTTCTCTCTCCCGCCTTCCGCGGAGCCCTGGTGGTGTAGTTGTTACCTGTGCCCTCGACAAGGTTGGCAGTTTGAAACCGTCAGCTGCTTCTCAGGAGAACGATGGGGCTTTCTACTCCCCTAAACAGTTAACCGTCTCAGAAACCCACAGGGGCGGTTCTACCCTGTCCTAATGGGTCACTTGAGTCAGTGTGGACTCAAGAATTTGGATTCTTGGCTGGGGTCTTCGGTGCTGGGGGAGTCAGGGACCGCTCACTCCTGTCTGCATGCTCCGTACTGCCGAGCCTTCTCAGGACGAGCTCAACACCCGGTTCTGCCGTGCTACGGCTTCCTTGCCCCACACGTTCCCTCTCAGCCTCATGGGTGCTGTTCTCAAGGGAGGGCCTTTGACATAAACGTTGGGACACAGCCCCAGCACAGGGACCTGTCACTTTGTCAACCGTCAGCCCCCACGGTCAGGCCCGGGTGGTGCTCCTGCGTCTCCTCCCGGGCTGGCTGCGGGGTAGCGCTGGAGCTGGGGGCAGCACTCTGTCCTGAGTGTCAGCCAGGAAGACCGAGCCTGGGGCTAGCGTGGAGGGGCTGTGTCGGCCATGGCCTTGGTTGTGGCGTGTTAATACGCCATAAACAAACACTTCCTGAGTGGGTGTGATCAGTGAGTGACCGCTAGCATTTAAGGAACGGCCCAACAGGAGCACTTTGTAGCGGAAAGTGCACCTCGCCAGGAGCCTGATGTCCCAGTGGCCCTCTGACTCGAACTTGCTGTGTGCCTTTGGCAAGTCACCTCGCGTCTCTGAGCCCCAGCTCCTTCCCAGCCCCCACGTCTGGTGAGTCATTGAGCTCAGAGAGAGTTTGCCTCTCATCAAGTGCACTCCTCCCAGCAGATGCATACAGGCTCTGTGTCCTGGGAGACCCGCTGGAAGGAGCCTGCCTTCTCCTCTCATGCCCTTCCTGAATGTGCCGCTTCATCTTCACACTCGGCCCATTCTGGGGCCTCTCGCCCCGCGCTGCCTCCCCTCCCCCTGTGCACAGGCAGGCAGATCCTGTCTAGCCAGCACTCTTGGCTTTCCATTTTTTGTAGTTGCATTGTAAAAATTGTGGTGTGTGTGTGTATACACACGTGCCTATCTACATACATGTAGGTATGTATATACAGACGGGTATTTTTATGTGTGTATAAAACAAACTGACATTTCAGCCCTCCTCAGTTGTACAGGAGAATGACATCCGTTCATTACTCCATTCCTGGATTATTCCATCATCCTTGCCAGAGAGAAGCAGCTCCATCCATGCCCCTCCCCCCTGGCTCTCCAGCATTCCTCCCTCAGTGGCCAGCCCTGGGAGCTTCTGTTCTTTATTCTAGGCAGGTTTGTCCTGCATGCGGATGGACGTGGGGTGCCTCCACCCATCCTGAGTCCCTGCTGAGTTTGTCACCTGTCCCAGGGGCCGGGATAGCCAGCAGATGGCTTCAGGGGCAGGTCCGCAGTGACAGGGAAGGGAGAAGTCGGACTGCTGGCTCTGATTCGGTGGACAGACGGCAACCACGTCTCCCTGTGGGATCTGGGTGTGGTAAGTGAGGGTGAGGAAGAGGGAAATCGCAGGAGCAGGCCTCCAAGGATAAGGGCACCCAGGAGCGGGCATTGTGTGGTCAGAGCACCCTGACAACCCCACAGCCTTGTGGCTTTTGTGATCCGAGAATGAATACTAACTGTCCCTGCAGATGGCCGCCTGTGGTGCTGGACTTAACAGTGCTTTCAGGAGCCTGCCTGTCCTTAGGGAGATACATCCTAATCCGAAAGCATGATAGAATCAAAACCTTTCCTTTTTTGCCCCCCTGGTTATAAATTCTGGACTGCTTTCAAATGAGTGAGTGTCTGTGCCTGTCCAGAGACGCAGGGATCCTTGCAAAGAGGCTTAGGGGTTAGTGTCCAGGGACAGTGCCTGAGGACACCAGGGATAGACATGCTCCTTCCCTGAGACTGTGGTCAAAGACACCTCCTTTGATGGGTGTCGGTACCAGAAACAAATGTATGCTGTCACAAGTAGTTGAGGTAAATTTGTACCCAAACCACCCGCACCCTCCTCCCGTCCTTCCTTGTTGCCTCGTCTTCTGGCCTTATCACCTGCCCCTGAAGACTCGGCTTCACCTGCCCCTTGCTGTGTGTTGCCCAGAGGTTCCCTGAGGATCGGAGGTCAGAGGTCGGCAGGTTTAGCGTGGAGGCTCCATTCCTGCCTGCAGAGGGACAGGGAGCCGACAGTTCCAGTTTAAAAATGGAGCAGGCACGTCAGCAGCAGAAAATAATATTATGACCACCAGACAGAGCCTGCGATTGAGGACCGCACAATGAGATCTTTGTTGGGGCATTGGGTGCCGGGCTGAAGGGAACACCCTTTGCCCTTTGCATCCAGTGGTGGGTGGGCAGAGCTTCCAGACTTAGCCGGCTGGCGGCATCCGGGCCTTCACCCAGGACAGCTGCTGTGGGAGGGCGGTGGGGAGAACCGTTTCTTGGAGCAACCAGGGCGATGCAAGCCGCTAGGTAATTGGCTTCCCTGAAGGGGTGGGGGTGGAGGTTTGAGTGTACCCAGAGGTACCTCAGAAGAAAGGCCTGGTGATCCAAGTTCCGAAAACCAGCCATTCAAAACCTCTTGGAGCACACTTTTACTCTGACCCACAGGAGGTCACCGTAGGTCACAGTCAACCCAAGGCAGCTTATTTTTTTGTTCTTGTTTTAATACTTTCGATCATCAGAGTTGTTGATGAACCCGGATTTTCCAGGATGCAGAGGGCATGGTCAGCTTTATTGTACTGGGGAAAGGACTGAGGCCAGAGGAGACACTTACTTGCTGATGCCCCCCGCTTCTGGGAATACTAGGAAGACTGGCTGGCACAGTGTCCGGACAGTACCCAGCATATAGTCGGCACCCACATGGCGTTAGTTGTCTTTAGTCCATCCTGGGCTCGGCTGCACCACCTCCCATCTCCGTTACACTCTAGCTCTCCAGTTATAGGAGCAGGTCTGACACCTTCCTTGAGAACAGGGTTTCTCCACTGGTGATCGATCACCAGAATGCTTCAGTATCCCTGAGCTCATCTTACATAGGCAGATCCCTGGGCTCCATCCGGCCAATAGAATCAGAAGAATCTGCTGGTGGGACCCGTGAATTTGCATTTTCTCAGTTCAAACCAAACCCCACTCTCACTGCCATCGGCTCCATGCCGACTCACAGCGACCGTGGAGGGCAGGGGGAACCGCCCTTTCGAATTTCCCCGGACTGTAACTGTTTGTGGGAGTAGAAAGCCCCGTCTTTTTCCCGTGGAGTGGATGGTGGTTTCGAACTGCCTACCTTGTGTCTGGCAGCCCACTGCGCAACCACTCTGGAATCTGGTGATGGCCAGAAGCAACTCGGGAACTGTAGAAAGCATGGATCACAGAGGTCCCCGCCAATCTACGAGTTGCTGTCCAGTGGTTCTGGCTCATGGCCACCCAG